CCTGATGCGTTTCGTCACTTCCTGTGACTTTTTCAAAAGGATAAGGAGGTCTGCGCATCTGCTCCTTAAATACCACCCTTCATCCCTTAAGGGCGCCACAAAACGCCATCTTGGAAGCTGGAAAATGCCGCCCATACCTATCTCTATACAGCCTCACTAAAATAACCGATCGAACAACCGATCGAAAGACTAATATGAACTATTTTGAACATCTCATCACAGTCTATAACCCTATTCATGGAATATCTACTAATAATAATCCACAATACAGAATACAACATGCAATATACAAATATAAATAAAACGATACTGTACAAACATATATAACAATAAAGCATATATATACATATATTCATTTCTTTTACATTAATACTTGGACATATGGAGGTAATGTAATATAAGTTTCTATAAAATAATATTTCCCAAAAGGTATTATATTGATTGTTTGAGTAATTAATGTATTAATCCAAATTTTAATTAGTGATGGTATTTGTGAATTTTAGTTATGTAATTTTAGGTAATATGAGAGAGGTAGGAAGTTAGGTATGTGTCTGAATTAACTAATAGATGCCGGTATGGATAGGAAATAGTAGAGGAGTATGATGTATTTATATATTGAATTACTATGAATTATAATGAGGAGTTGGTTTTAGAAGAATATGAGATGTTTAGGGAATATTTTAAAGGTGGTTGTTTAAATGGTGACCAGAAGAGGGAGTATTGGGGATTTTGATGATATACTATATATGGATATGGATATAGATATGTATAGAAAGATGGGGTTAACTATATTTTTATAGGTAGGTAGGATACTGTAAAAGAAATGAATATATGTATATATATATGCTTTATTGTTATATATGTTTGTACAGTATCGTTTTATTTATATTTGTATATTGTATGTTGTATTCTGTATTGTGGATTATTATTAGTAGATATTCCATGAATAGGGTTATAGACTGTGATGAGATGTTCAAAATAGTTCATATTAGTCTTTCGATCGGTTGTTCGATCGGTTATTTTAGTGAGGCTGTATAGAGATAGGTATGGGCGGCATTTTCCAGCTTCCAAGATGGCGTTTCGTAGCGCCCTTGAGGGATGAAGGGCGGTATTTAAGGAGCAGATGCACAGACGTCCTTATCCTTTTGAAAAAGTCACAGGAAGTGACGAAACGCATCAGGACCACGTGACGTCAGACGCATCGACGTTGACAGGAAGTGCGATCGTGGCCATCTTGGAAGTGGGAACATGTGGCCAGTGTTCCCTAGTCAGTCTGCATGTGCATTCTTATGAGGAGGAGCTGCCTTATCCGAATTGTAATGTGAGTTATTGAATAAAGAATGGTATTTTACTGAAACTACTATATATAATTGCGGTCTTTCTTATGAGGAGAATGGAAGGAAAACTTTAATACTGGACCTAATATTGGATGGAATCCGACAGCTAAGAAGTGAATCCAGATCTTTGTTATGCCCTATTTTCTGGTATATAGGGTAATTATCCATTTACACACGAGTTGGAGATTTTTTTGGGTGTGAGGATGTGTAGAGGATATAGTGATCACTGATGCATATCTAGTGTGGTGGTACACATTTGCAGTGATAATTTTTGAGTTATCCAAAACACAGAGTTTAGAGTGTACACGGTTTGTGAGTGTTTGCACTGAATAAGGGGATACAATATAATTTTTTTTTTTTTTTTTATGTGTTTTGTTTGTTCACTATTATTGCATGTTGCACTGGAAGGGGCACGTGTGTGTATTTGAATCTTTAAAAAGGTATGACACTATGTTAAGTTTTTTTCTTTTGAGGGATACTGTCATCAGAACTTGTGGGTGTTGAGAAAAGAATTTTTCGTTGAAAGAAGAAACGAAAGAGACTTGGTTAAACTTTTAGTTTACACAAGTGGGGATTTGTTTTGGACACTTGATGGGGTTTTGTTAAAGAAAAGTTTTGTACACAAATTTATTGTGGAGTTACCCCCATCAGAAGGATTTACCACCATCTTTGGTGGTGGTGGATCATTTGTCCAAGATGGCGCACTTTGTGCCCTTAAAAGGAACTCCTTCTGCTGCACACACTGCATATACCTGTCAGGGCTCCGGGGTGTGACCAGAGGTATGTGACTGACGCAGGGAAACGCAGACTTCAGATATGTTATAAATATAAATTTATTAACACTAACAATACAAACATAAACGCAGTGCAATACTAAAACATAACACAGTGCAAACAAACCAAACCAACCTCCCACAGATGACAGTAGATACAATACAAGCGTCGTCAGGCAGCCGGGTCAATATCAATCGGGCAGGTAGGTACAGGGGGAGCAAGCGGAGAATGGTCGGGGTCACAAGCCAGGTTCAGCAGGTAGCGGGCAGCGTGGTACAGAGGGTCAGGCAGAGGAGAATGGTCAGACAAGCCAGGGATCAGGAGCAGGAGGATGGTCAGACAAAGCCAGGGATCAGAGCAGGGTCAGCAACGAATCAGACAGGAACAGGAACAGGGAGCAGGAACAGGAACAGGAACAGGATACAGGACCCAGGAGAAAACACACACCAAGGCAGAGTCTGCAGGTCTGGCCATCCCTTAAATACACCAGTATAATCAGTTCCAGGTGTTTGACTGGCTGCAAGGTTGAGTCTCTGATTGCTGGGAGCACCCACTGGCCAGCCCTGGTACTGCAGCTCATAAGGCAGGTGAGTCCCACCATTGCTGGCCAGTCCATTCCTGACAGTACCCCCCCCTCAAGGAGTGGCCTCAGGACGCTCCAAACAGTCCTAGCTTGGCAAAATGTTCCACCGCCCGGGTCTGGTAACTGGCGGGATATCAAAGACTGGCACACCGGGCAGGACTCCGGGCAGCGGCACACCGGGCAGGACTCCGGGCAGCGGCACACCGGGCAGGGGCACACACGGGCAGGCACACCGGGCACAGGCACACCCGGGCAGAGGCACATCGGGTTGGACTCCGGGCAGAGGCACATCGGGCAGGGGCACACCGGGCAGAGGCACATCGGGCAGAGGCACACCGGGCAGAGGCACATCGGGCAGAGGCACACCGGGCAGAGGCACATCGGGCTGCACTCCGGGCAGAGGCACATCGGGCTGGACTCCGGGCAGAGGCACATCGGGCTGGACTCCGGGCAGAGGCACATCAAGCTGGACTCCGGGCAGAGGCACATCGAGCTGGACTCCGGGCAGAGGCACATCGGGCTGGACTCCGGGCAGAGGCACATCGGGCTGGACTCCGGGCAGAGGCACATCGGGCTGGACTCCGGGCAGAGGCACATCGGGCTGGACTCCGGGCAGAGGCACATCGGGCTGGACTCCGGGCAGAGGCACATCGGGCAGGGGCACACCGGGCAGAGGCACATCGGGCAGAGGCACACCCGGGCAGAGGCACATCAGGCTGCACTCCTGGCAGAGGCACATCGGGCTGGACTCCGGGCAGAGGCACATCGGGCTGGACTCTCAGGGCAGAGGCACATTGGGCTGGACTCCGGGCAGAGGCACATCGGGCTGGACTCCGGGCAGAGGCACATCGGGCTGGACTCCGGGCAGAGGCACATCGGATTACCAGGCGAAGCAGCAGGCACCGGGCCACCAGGCGGAGCAGCAGGCACCGGGCCACCAGGCGGAGCAGCAAGCACCGGGCCACCAGGCGGAACAGCAGGCACCAGGCCACCAGGCGGAGCAGCAGGAACCGGGCCATCGGGCGGAGCAGCAGGGCACCGGGCCCCCGGGCAGGGCGACAGGCACCGGGCCCCCAGGCGGGGCGACAGGCCTCGGGCCCCCAGGCGGGGCAACAGGCCTCGGGCCCCCAGGCGGGGCAACAGGCCTCGGGCCCCCAGGCGGGGCGACAGGCATCGGGCCCCCAGGTGGAGCGGCGGGCGCCGGGCCCCCAGGAGGGGCAACAGGCATCGGGCCCCCCAGGAGGGGCGACAGGCATCGGGCCCCCAGGAGGGGCGACAGCCATCGGACCCCCAGGAGGGGCGACAGGCATCGGGCCCCCAGGCGGGGCGACAGGCATTGGGCCCCCAGGCAGAGCGGCGGGCGCCGGACCCCCAGGCGGAGCGACAGGTCTCGGGCCCCCAGGCGGAGCGGCGGGCGCCGGACCCCCAGGCGGAGGGAACAGGTCTCAGGCCCCCAGGCGGAGCGACAGGTCTCAGGCCCCCAGGCGGAGCGACCGGTCTCAGGCCCCCAGGCGGAGCGACAGGTCTCAGGCCCCCAGGCGGAGCGACAGGTCTCAGGCCCCCAGGCGGAGCAACAGGTCTCAGGCCCCCAGGCGGAGCGACAGGTCTCAGGCCCCCAGGCAGAGCGACAGGTCTCAGGCCCCCAGGCGGAGCGGCGGGCGCTGGACCCCCAGGCGGAGCGGCGGGCGCCGGACCCCCAGGCGGAGCAACAGGTCTCAGGCCCCCAGGCGGAGCGACAGGGTCTCAGGCCCCCAGGCAGAGCGACAGGTCTCAGGCCCCCAGGCGGAGCGACCGGTCTCAGGCCCCCAGGCGGTGCGACAGGTCTCAGGCCCCCAGGCGGAGCGACAGGTCTCAGGCCCCCCAGGCGGAGCGACAGGTCTCAGGCCCCCAGGCGGAGCGACAGGTCTCAGGCCCCCAGGCGGAGCGACAGGTCTCAGGCCCCCAGGCGGAGCGACAGGTCTCAGGCCCCCAGGCGGAGCGACAGGTCTCAGGCCCCCAGGCGGAGCGGCGGGCAGGACCCCCAGGCGGAGCGGCGGCGCCGGACCCCCAGGCGGAGCGACAGGTCTCAGGCCCCCAGGCGGAGCGACAGGTCTCAGGCCCCCAGGCGGAGCGACAGGTCTCAGGCCCCCAGGCGGAGCGACAGGTCTCAGGCCCCCCAGGCGGAGCGACCGGTCTCAGGCCCCCAGGCGGTGCGACAGGTCTCAGGCCCCCAGGCGGAGCGACAGGTCTCAGGCCCCCAGGCGGAGCGACAGGTCTCAGGCCCCCAGGCGGAGCGACCGGTCTCAGGCCCCCAGGCGGAGCGACAGGTCTCAGGCCCCCAGGCGGAGCGACAGGTCTCAGGCCCCCAGGCGGAGCGACAGGTCTCAGGCCCCCAGGCGGAGCGACAGGTCTCAGGCCCCCAGGCGGCGGGACTCGACAGGTCTCAGGCCCCCAGGCGGAGCGGCGGGCACCGAGTCACCAGCACGACAGTGGGCTCCGAGTCAACTGCCATGACCGCTGGCACCCTGGGTCAGACATTGGATCGTCTGGCTGGACAGCGGGCATCGGGTCACCAGGCATCAGGTCATTTGGCTCGACAGTGGGCACCGCGTCATCTGGCAAGACAGTGGGCTCCCGAGTCACCAGGCACGACAGTGGGCTCTGAGTCAATTGGCACGACAGCGGGCACTGGTCATCAGGTACCACGGATTGTCTGGCTCGACAGCGGGCATCGGGTCATCAGGTATGACAGCGGGCACTGGGTCACAGGCATCAGGTCATTTGGCTCGCCAGCGGGCACCGCGTCATCTGGCAAGGCAGGGGGCTCCAAGTCAACTGGTATGACTGCGGCACTGGGTCAGATATTGGATCGTCTGGCTGGACAGCGGGCATTGGGTCACCAGGCATCAGGTCATTTGGCTCAACAGCGGGCACTGCGTCATCTGGCAAGACAGTGGGCACCAAGTCACCAGGCACGACAGTGGGCTCTTGAGTCAATTGGCACGACAGCGGGCACTGGGTCATCAGGTACCGGATTGTCTGGCTCGAATTTTCTCGCTTTTTTTGGTTTTAACTACTGGAGCACTGCAAGTAAACGCAGGTCTGCAAACGAATGGAGCAGCTGGAGACAGAGAAGAGCTGGAGGATGGGACAGGGGAGGGAGCAGTTGCTACAGAGGCTTTTTTACAGGTTAAAGGCAGGATAGGTGCAGCGGTGGAAACAGGTTACTGAACCCCTGCGGTAGATAGCAGGGCATGAGGAGCTGTTGGAATGCAGGAATAGAGCTTTGAGGAAATAGATTAGAAGCAGGACTGGTTTTTGTAAGCTGACTGAGGCTGGGTGCAACAAGTCTGTCCATGTCTGCAGTATGGTTGAACAAGCTGAGCTTACACAAAGCCTGTCTGACCAAAGACTGCACTGCGTTTATACAAATCTCTTAGTACCTGTGGTTTGAACATGCAGCATAATGCTCCAAGAAGCAATCCACATCATCCTCTAATAACCATACCAGGGACTCTACCTGGTCGGGCACTAAATGGCGGCAAAAATTCATCCCTGCATTCGGGGTACCAGATGAAACCAACTCCGCACAAATCTGAATCAATGGCTGCACCTCAGAGAATTCTGTGCCCTGATCTACTAGAACATGAGCGAGCCGTATACATTCTAGCAGTTAATCCCGGGGATACTCCTTCAGAGTTTGATAAGCATACTCTCTGTCATCAAACACTAGCAGATATAAATACACAACCTCATCAAGATCCATCCTTCCCATCAACAAACCAAGATGGCTTCCCTGTGCAGCCACTTCTGGTCAGGATTGGCCTTGGTGTAATGTCAGGGCTCCCGGGTATGACCAGAGGTATGTGACTGACGCAGGGAAATGCAGACTTCAGATATGTTATAAATATAATTTATTAACACTAACAATACAAACATAAACGCAGTGCAATACTAAAACATAACACAGTGCAAACAAACCAAACCAACCACCCACAGATAACAGTACATACAATGCAAGCGTCGTCAGGCAGGCCGGGTCAATATCAATCGGGCAGGTAGGTACAGGGGGAGCAAGCGGAGAATGGTCGGGGTCACAAGCCAGGTTCAGCAGGTAGCGGGCAGCGTGGTACAGAGGGTCAGGCAGAGGAGAATGGTCAGACAAGCCAGGGATCAGGAGCAGGAGGATGGTCAGACAAAGCCAGGGATCAGAGCAGGGTCAGCAACGAATCAGACAGGAACAGGAACAGGAACAGGGAGCAGGAACAGGAACAGGAACAGGATACAGGGCCCAGGAGAAACACACACCAAGGCAGAGTCTGCAGGTCTGGCCATCCCTTAAATACACCAGTATAATCAGTTCCAGGTGTTTGACTGGCTGCAAGGTTGAGTCTCTGATTGCTGGGAGCACCCGCTGGCCAGCCCTGGTACTGCAGCTCATAAGGCAGGTGAGTCCCACCATTGCTGGCCAGTCCATTCCTGACAATACCTTTATCAGGGAGGTAGTATGCCTACATGGTGTCCCCAGTAATGTAATTTCTGACTGTGGGGTACAGTTTACTTCCAGGTTCTGGAGTCCTTAAGTGCTGGACATTGAACATTTTCTGTCTTCGGCTTACCATCCACAAACTAATGATCATACTACGAGGACAAATTAGACCCTAGAACAGTACTTGCATTGTTTTTCTTCCTTTGCACAAGATGATTGGGCTCCACTTCTTTCATTGAAAAGTTTGCTTATAATGACTCTGTGCATTCCGCCAAAAAACAGACACCGTTCTTTGCAAATTATGGATTTGATCCTTCTTTTGTGCCAGATTTGCCTTGAGAAATCTTCGGTACCAGCTGTGCAGAATTGCCTGGAATTTTGGAGGTCCAATAAGCAGTTCCTGCAAGAAGCCATTGCTAAATCTCAAGCAAGCAATAACAGGTTTTTTGATAAGAAGAAGAGGGGTAATCTGAATCTAGAACCTGGAGATAAGGTATGGCTATCCACTGCTAACTTAAAATTAGCCTGTCCCTCAAAGAAATTAGAGCCTTGATATAATGGGCCTTTTCCTAAAAAGAGGAGGATTAATGCAGCAGCTTTTGAGTTAACTCTGCCTAAGAATTTAAAAATTCATCCTGTGTTTCATGTATCGTTATTAAAACACACTGTTTCTAACCCATTTCCTGATCGGGAACCAAAGGCTCCAGCTCCACTGCTTGTTGAAGGAAATGAAGAAAACGAGGTTGAATCCATCAATGATTGCAGGAAGAGAGGGGGTCAGACTCTGTTCCTCATTAAATGGAAAGGCAACGGCCCAAAAAATAATTCTTGGGAATCTTTGTTTAACGTTTATGCTTCATGGTTGGTGCAAACTTACCTCCGTCTTCATCCTGAAAAATGGACTATGATGGACTGCCCCTAAGGGGGGGGGGGCAATGTAAGGAAATTGCTGTACGGCGACTAGTACATAGAAATGCGCATGCACACAACATCGCGTATAGAAATAATCACAGGCACATTGCTAATGGAAATGAACATAGGCTGGTGCATGCGTGAAAGAATGCATGCACGCGGGAGTGTGCCCAGTTTCTGGCACCAGAAGGACTATTTAAAAGGAGGCTCTTTGTCATTGCTGACTGGTCTTCAGCTATTTGCTTGTGTCCTGCTGTATCCTGTGTGTTATCTGTTACTGACCCGGCTTGCCATTTATTCTGCTCTTGGATCCTGTTCATGCTTCTGCTCATCGGTTTCTGATCCTGGCTTACTCCTGACCTCTTTCCTGTCTGATGTTTTGGTACCTCATCACCTGCTCGTTGCTGACCCTGACTATCACTCTGACAATGCTTCTGGCTCCAGTTCGGCTCTACAGTCCTGCCAAGTGCTTGCCCTGGCTGTCCACCATATCAGCTCCTGTTGTCACTGTGTGTTCCAGACTCACGCTTGTTAGAAGTTCTTGCAAGTCACGCATCCAGATCTTGCAGTTCCAGTTGAGTGCTCCTTTAACCTCAGCTGGTTGTTCCTGCATCTCCTCTGTTCCTGAGCAGATGCCCTGTCTGATTCACTGAGTTTACACCTCCAGTCACAAGTTCTGCAATTAACATCTGCAGGCACTCGTGTTCCTTCTGGCTCTCAGCACCATCTGTTCCACCTTCAGTGGGGCCTGAGCTGGAGATACAAGAGAGGCTGACCTCATCAATTTAGACTTTAATCAGGTACATGACAGTGTCTGGATTTGGCGGTTGCCATGAGAACGGTACTTGCCTGACTGCATTGTGCCAAGTGTAAAGTTTGATGGAGGGGGCATTATGGTGTGGGGTTGCTTTTCAGGGGTTGGCCCCTTAGTTCCAGTGAAGGGCACTCTTAGGTGACATCATACCAAGGTATTTTGGCCAATTTCATGCTCCCAACTTTGTGGGAACAGTTTGGGGATGGCCCCTTCCTGTTCCAACATGACTGTGCACCAGTGCACAAAGCAAGGTCCATAAAGACATGGATGGGCGAGTATGGGGTGAATACAATTGACTGGTCTGCACAGAGTCCTGACCTAAACCCGATAGAATACCTTTGGGATGAATTAGAGCAGAGACTGCGAGCCAGGCCTTCTCATCCGACATCAGTGCCTGACCTCACAAATGTGCTTCTGGAAGAATGGCCAAACATTCCCATATACACACTCCTAAACCTTGTGGACAGCCTTCCCAGAAGAGCTGAAGTGTTATAGCTGCAAACCCTACGGGCTAAGATTGGGATGCCATTAAGCTTAATGTGCGTGTTTCAGGCAGGCGTCCCAATACTTTTGGAAATACAGTGTATATTAGATATAAAGACATTATAAAACACAAAACACAAGTTAAAAACAAAAGTATACCTACTAAAATCCAAATAACTCCCAAAATGATCATCAAAAACTATATAAATACTCCCTAAATATAAATCAATATATCAAAAAGCTTATATCAAACATTTTATATATGAATAAAAAGGATGTAATCATATAACAGTGGTGGTACTCTTTTAGGGTAACAGCAGTTCCTTACATGACTCTGTAAGTGAGATAGTTAATCCTGTAATGAATAGCAAATCAGAATTATTCTGGGTCATCCACTTCTTCCATAGAAATGTTATGATTACATGTCATCCGACTTGCATTTCATGATGGCTCAATAAAGACTTCATATATTTCTGAGAATGTAATGACATCAAGAAGTTGAAACCAGCATAATAGGGTGAAATAGACAATATGTAGATTCTGTAATGCTGTTATCCATGAAACTTGAATACTCCAGATATGGAGGAAGTTTCAGGTGGATTTTGACTTGTGATCTGTCAGAAAAAAGAATGTCCACATATGCAAATAATTAGTGTAGCATCCAGTCTCTAGGTGGATTTAACCTGTGATTGGTAGCGCACAGTTGTCCACATGCAGACATCACCAAAGACATTATATGCATGGTTTAGATGTGGGGCTCATATGTATCACCTATATAGTGGTGCATCATCATCCAGCCTCCAGCTGGATATACAGTAAACTGTCATTGGTAAAACATAGATCTCTTATGTAGACTTCTACAGGAGTCACCAAGACCTTATATGCAAGGCTTAAAGTGTTACTAAACCCAGGACCCTGCATTCACTATATATGGTCTCTCACAGTACACAGAACGGAAATGCAATTATTTTAGTTTATATAAACTGCTAAATATCCTTTCTTTTCAGAAGTTAGAGCAGTGCTGTGGCTTCTATCCAGCAGAGCACATGTTAAAGCTTGTAGGAGAACTATTCATTCTGCTCTAGGAGGATGCAGAACCCATGACCTTCTGTCTGGACAGTGCTGATTGGCCCTGTGCTGATAACATGCATTCTCCCAGGAAAAAAAAAACCTCTCTAGCAATACACACCAAACTGTGCATGTGCAGAGTGAATCAACATGATATGTCTTATCAAGAGATAAGAGGGGGTATTGGAAGAAGGGGGGATCAGAGAGAGGACAGGATCAGACAGCATTTTTAGGCAATGCAGAGGATTAACCCTTAGGTTCCACAGTGAGTATAACAAGCATGCTTTACTGCATATACAGACTGATTTTACTGTTGTAGGTTTAGTAACACTTTAAATGTCACCCCAAGTAGGTAGGAGCCCATTGGGCCTGAGACCAAAGCACAGGCAGATACATAATAGATCACTCACTCAGGCAGGAATTAAACTATGAAAGACTTCATACCAGGTGTAAAAGTGAAAGTCTATCCATCATAAAGGAAT